GTAACATTTGATCTTTTGGTTGTTAAGAAGGAAAGAGATCAGCTTTTGTGGGGTTGGGTGTGGTTTTTTGGGGTTTTTTTCTTTTTTTAATACACCCTGCCACACCCCCCAAGTGAGGCTTGGTTACTACTTGCACTCTTTCCAGAACTCTCTGCTGGATGTGGCCAAGGTAATGATAAAGTGTAGTGTGGTGTTACGCTGACCAGGGAGCATCTCAGAAACTAATTGTTCAACAACGTAGGTGATCTCAGAAACTAATTGTTCGCCCTGTGTCTTGCCCCAGTATTCTCAGGAACGAATAAATTTCAGTTAGTCTCTCGGTGTTTCTCCCTGTGCTGCTGGTTTCCAAGTGGTTCAGTATCACATCAGAACTCTCTGCTCAGTCCCATCCCTTTGTGCCCAATGGAGAGGGAGCAGAAGCGCTGCAATGCTGCTTCCCCTGCACACCAGGCATGCAGGGACGTGCTGCACCAGCTTAAAGGAGTATAGGACTGATAGTGTTAAGGGGTCCCTTGTGCTGGCATAATCCTGTCCTGCCTAGAGATGCATTGGTAGTCTGCCTGTCTCCAACCTGGCCTAAGCATAAAAATTTTCAGGTTTCTTTATGCTAGGAGAAATCTTACTTGTCTCAGTGAGGGCTGTAGAGCGAAGCAAAGAGAAAGAGGAGATGAGTGTTGAATACTTTGTGTATGTTTGTGGGTTGTTCTGTGCTTTTTTTAAGGTATTTCTTTTGTGTCCTGAAAGAGCTGAAACGTATGTCACTTCCAACCATTTTTGCTAATGGCTATGGCCTAAGAGATAAGTAGGAAAAAACAAAACTGAAGGAACTTGAATTGTGTATGTAGCTTGGGAATTCAAAATTACCTGCCATCAATATTGTAAAATGGATCCATTTTAGATTTCTGCCTGAACTTACTGTCTCTTAATAATGTGGTGTTTTTTTTAAATCTTTGGCCTCCTGTATCCTGTTAAACCATGTAAAGGACTGATTTAAAAGTCTTTCATTTGTTTGGCAGATGTTATGTAGCTGAAGATTATTTCAGTTCTTATTGCATTTAAAAGCAGTTCACACTCTCACTTTAAGACCACACTATTTATCTCTGTGTTGGCACTGCTTGATAAACTGTGCTCTCACAAGTGTTTTGTTACCAAGTTGCATAGTTCTGGAGTTAACTCAGAAAGCTGGCAGCTCTAGCACAGTTGAAAGCCTACTGGATAGAAAATTGACCAGGAGCCGTATCCTGAATGCCAGTGCTTTTAGAAAGAGGAGTTTGAATCTGTTTTTGTTGTTTTCCCCTGTATTTTGGGGAGTATGTTTCCTGTACTGCTCTTGTAAATTCTTCTGAAAGCCTAAACAGAAGATGACATGAATATTGTGACTGGAAACTAGTTTCTGTTGTTTTCATATGGTCCCTGGCTATTTGATGCGTTGCATCTTTGTTACAATTTTTTTTTTCCATGGTACAAACATGTGAAAGTGTAAGAGTGGAATTACTTTAAAATATTTTTCTTAGGTTAAATCTGCATAGTAGCAGCTTTGAGACAGTTATTTTGGTTTGCAATGCATGCCTTAAGGAAGGAAATGGAGAATGAGTTGTTTTATTCTCATCCTTTGTAACAGTAGATTAGATTCCCAAAGTTGTGATGTAGGCAGTATGATCTACTATATTAGTTAAAAGCTACTAAAAGAGGAAGCTAAGAAAATGTCAACAAAACATGCTTGGCAAAATCAGCCCTTTTTCTAAACTTAGAATTAATTACATTCGTTGTACATTGCTTCAGATCATGAAGATCGTTGAGTGTGGATGGAAGTATTTTATGTGGATCAATAAATTCAGCCCCTACATCTGTAGGGGACAAATGCATGCTCCAAAGTTTGTTTAAACTAATATTGGGAAGACCTTCAGGCTAAATGTGTGGGTTTTTTTGGTTTTGGTTTGGGTTTTTTGTTTTGTTTTGTTTTGTTTTTAATTCTTAAGAGTGTGTTTCCATCTCATTAATTCTTGTTTCTGTAGCATGTTTCAGAATATGAAGAGTTCATATGTATTTAAAGTCTTTGTCATACAAAATGTTAAGGACGAAGCCTCCACATTACTTAAGGTTCCTGATTTGGGGCTTTTAAGCAGAAATCTTACAATATTTTGAAATGTTTCTTTTTTTACATCAGTGGTGTATACACACAGAACTAGTAAAAAATCCAGTAGTTACCTGCAGGGTTATTTTTGGAAGTTGATGGCCTACTACGGTTGTCTTTCTGAAAACCCTTTGCTATATAATGTAATATTTTCTTATGTACCTGTAATAGGAAGGGCCTTTCCATCTTTACATTATGTTTGTTTAGCATCCAAACTTACTGCCACAACAGTGAACAGCAGTTGTTCTGTTTTGTTTCCGAGGAAGTGCGGTTAGAGGTATAATGCAAAATGTCATCTCTTGGGGCTGGGAGGAACAGATAATGTTATTTTAATTCTTAATTAAAATTTTATTAAATTCAGTTGATTGAAGTCAATTTCCACTACTTTAACCATACGTGCTGTTTAAAGTTCTTGCTGGGGGAGTTTTCTTCAGATCACCTTATTTTTAAATTTACGTATTTGATGGCTTTTTCACAATATGAGATATTTCTAAACTCTGGTTTTGAAGTTGGCCATGCTAAGAGAAGGTGCCTGTAAAGGTAATGTTGTTTGCTTCATGCCAAGTGTCTTGCCACACACTGTGGTGAAACCATGATCTTGGACATGATTGATTATTTTTTACTACTGTATCAAGCAGGTATTTTGTTGTGGCCATTAAAGAGAGTGATTCCAGGCTTAAATCTTTTTGTAGCTAGGGGTCAAGTGGATTGCTGTGGGGAAGAGGGAAAATGTGTACTGCAGTGTAAGGATTGGTAATTAATGTCTGCACAGAATTTAGAATTTCTTTACTTGACCAAATTTATACTATGTTGTTCAAGTAGCTCAGCAAATGCAGTTCTTTGTTGGTTGGATTTTATTTTTTGATAACACTTTGATGAATTCAATATTCAGAAGTATTTGAATTCACACTGGAGGAGGCCTAGCAACAGAAAGATACTTGTACAGCTGTTTAGTTGAGCCATATGTTTTATTTAGTTTAGCTTATATTCATATTGGTAGCTTCAAGTAACATATATTGGTAGCTTCAAGTAATATATATTGCTTTGTCCCTTGCGATTTACTTGCTGAAATAGGATATGAAAACCACCTGAGATCTTGTCTTCTGTGTATAAGAGAGGTATCATCATGTATGGTTTTGCATTTGGTATTTTTAGGGGGCTTGGGGGCTTGCTTTTTTTTTTTTTTGTATGAGCTTAAATTGGTTTAGCCTACATCATCAGAGATACAGTCCATCACTTACTTATTTCTTTTGGATCCAGGAGAGAAAGCCAGAGCAAAGAAATGCACTCCCCTGAGGCAAGAAGACTAAGCGTCTCTTGTATGTCATAAAAAGTGGAGCAGGGGGAAACCATTTCTGCACTTTGAATCCTAAGCTTGTCATACTGGCTTTCAGTAAAACACACTAGCATTTTAAAATCCATTAGAAAAACTGTAACAAACTCCTTTGGTTCTTAGGTGATTAAACAACTTGAAAATAACTACTTGAAGTAGACTCTGTAGGGTCTTTCCATTTCTAGAATGTTTGTTGACCTCAATGGTCTCTTTTCCTTTTTAAAGCAAAATTCTGCATAGCGATTTAAGGTATGTTCAGAAAAATCTGTATCTTAGTCTTAGACTGAAAAACGAATTATTGGATCATCTACTGAATGATATCTCTTGCATATCTTGTAGGAGGGGAAACTTTGTGAGCTTCAGGATCTGAAAGTTGGGAATGTTTTTTCTGGATAATTGTACTACCAAGTTAATATAGTTTTGCTTTGGTATCACAGAATGTGGAAAGCCTAAAAGCAATTTCTTAGCTTGGAGGAAGGGGAGTTGAAGAAATTGAAGGACAGACTTGGTAGATCCTTTTACATCTGATACTGGCAAGCAGTAATTTAATACATTTCCTGGGAGATTAGAAATAATCTCGATTACAAGATAATTGAACAGGCTAGGAACCAGCACTGTAGGAACATCCTGAGCTGATAGGAGAGTGGAAAAATGTTAGTGGTGGAGCTGAAGGAGGAAATTATTATTCTGCTGTTGTTGCTTACTATGTAGAGGGAAAAGAAAGACTTAACCTTCAAATGTGCGTTTCCTCAGATCTTTGATATATCATGTAGCGGCAAACACAGCAACTGCCTCTTTGCCTATGGAAAAATAACAGTTAACTTTTATTTTTACTTAGATAAAAACTTATGCCTACTTCAGTGAAACCGAGCTGATTTACTGGTTTGAGGTGGAGAAAAAAATATTTTGACTCAAGGAAATGATCTCTCATCAAAAACCTAGCTGGCACATTGCATATTCATGGTGTAGGAAGTTTTCTTTTTTCACTTTTGGTTCTTCAGGTTCAGTGCTTGTTTTGCTGTTTTCAAGTATCATTCACAGGGTTTGAATGGGCGATCTTACTAAGGTTTCAGGTTTATTCTTTGCCCACTTCCACTGCTGCCTAGAATTATTCTTTTCTTTTTCACTTTCAAAATACTTTTTTTCCTTAGGCTAAAAAGGACTTCTATGCCGCCAAACTTTCCTGTTTTATCTAGTTCTATCAGCTACTCTAATAAAGAGTATTTGCTCTCTCTACTAACTTTGTATTCTCTCTTCAGATCATTGCTGCTGCAGCAGTGCCATATTAATGTAGCTGTTAACCCCATTCTTATTGTAGGAATTAGCCTTAATGACATGTACGCTACAAAATGTGATCATTTTATATGTCGACTGTAACATGAGGACAGGAGAGCGTGTGAGTATTTTAGCAAGCTCTTCCTGAGCTTGCTGGTATGACTAATAGCAAAGAATAGTCAAAAAAGATAGGTGTTACTCCTTAGTGTGATTAAAATTGAGGTGGTGGTTGTGGTTATGAAGCACCACCGGTGAAAGAGGAAGCACGAATCTATTCCATTAATAATATGTGGGCTGATATTAAATGTGTCTTTGAGCAAATAAAATAACATCAAGCAAGGGCATTGAACAGTGTTGCTTTAATTTCAGGGTTGTGTTTTTTTTCCCCTTTCAAATACAGCTGATCCTACTGCTCTGGGATTCATCATTTCTCCATGGTCTCTCCTGTTGCTTCCATCTGGCAGTGTATCATTTACTGATGAAAATGTCTCCCAACAAGACCTGCGAGCATTCACAGCACCAGAGGTTCTGCAGAACCATTCTCTATCATCTCTGTCAGATGTTGAAAAGGTACGGTACCTCTTCCTTGGCAGGCAGCTGTTTTCTTTTGCTGTTGATCCCTTCACAAAATAGCTTTAAACTGTCCTTTTTGTCTCGCTGTGGTTCTTGATTTGTATGTGTCATTGTTGATTTCTTTTGTGAGAGTGGGAGGGATATTCTTACTTTGTATTTGCCCCTAAAAGTGGAATAGTGATTATGGTTGTATGCACTTATGAAGAAGTGTTTGTGTGCAGGTCCCTGTGTGCTACTGACAGCCATATGTGGGCAATGGCTGCACAGAGTAACTGATCATCAAACTAGTAGTAAGCAACAAATTGCCGCTTTTTTCTAGCAGATTTCAGTCACATCAACAGTTTTAACTTTTAAAAACTTTTTTGGTAAAATGCATCTGAGAGGTAAGCAAAGGAATTACTCAAGCAGTCCAGGGCTTCAAAAAATGGGGTATTCCTACACTTGTGTCAGAAGAAAGTTTGTTTTAATTAACATAAGTATTCCTTAGTTGTGTGCAAAATTGTTCCTTTCTACCTTCCTTTTTTAACTCTTACTTCCCTGAACATTACCCTTGGGGAAGGTTTGTATATGTGATCTCCTTCAGGGCATTGATACGCAGAGTCAAAATTACTAGCTTCTCAAATGTTTTCTTAACAATAACTTGTTGCAAATGGTAACACTTTCCCCAGAAAACCAATCCCTTGGCCTAGTCAAAGATATTTAGAGGTGGGAGTAAGAAGGAATCTGAGCTCCATTTCCATCTCCTTGGCTTCTCTGGATCAATAATCCTTAGAGAAGGAAGCTAGCCGCAGCCAGTGTTATAATCTGGGAACAATTATGACATTTGGCAGTCTTCCTCCAGGAAGAACAGCAACATGCTCTTACTCCAGAGGAAACTGGTATTGGCATCGATTTCTGTTGTGTGCACAAGGACTATTAAAACATGTTTTTCTGTGTTGAATATTTTGTTTGCAGCTTTTTTCTTCTAAACCTTGTATATAGTCAGTTTTCTTTAGGACTATATCACTGAATATCTACCAAAAATCACTGTTTCCTCAGTTACTTGCAAGCCCTTTAGACATCCTTCTTGCCCTGTAGTGTAGTTAAAATTAATGGTATAATAAAATATGTCTATTATTTTATCTATGACAAAACTGTAAGCAATTAGCAACCTAGGTTGAAAGTTTTAATAGAGAAGTAAAAATAACACTGACCTCAATGCAAGTTTGGGATCAGTTATGTAGGATGCAGCTGCCAAGCTCTGTAGTCATACTGTTGGAATTATCTTCTTTCAAGAGAGACAACACTGTTGAAGACAGTAATGTTACCTCTAATGCCAACTCTGAAGTTGATATACAAAACAGGCCTTTAAAAATGCCAGAAAAAAGTTTTGAAATGAGATGTTTGTGACCTTCGTCAGAGCTGATTGCATTCTTTGTTCTGGGCCAGTATTCATTCAGTATGTTACTTTTTCCTAAATAGAGAACTGTTACTATTAAAAGCCACGCTATGATGTCTCTTTACCTTAATCTTTAGGAAGGAAATACTCAGAGGGACCACTGTGGCCTGTAAACTCCAGCACAGAGCATATCAGTAGGTGATGACCAAATACTGGCATTCTGCACATATGCAGCACTGATTGATCCTCTCTGATTATGGCTGTGAGAATTTATTTCATGATTTGAGTATAACCTTGCTTGCTGGAAGGTGATGACAAAATTGAGACTAGGCCGCAGCAACTGTGTTGCTGTTTTCATTGGGAAACAGTTGGATGTGGAAATAGACAAGCTTTGGCTTTACATAAGCAAATTACTCAGTCATGTATAAACTAAATAAAACCATTTAGCTTGTGGTACTCAGCTTTAGCATTAGGTTGAAGCTTCAGGCTTTGGGCTTGAGATGAATTAACCTGTTTTATGTTTGAACTCTGCTTGATTTCTGCATGTGTTTTGCACACACTGTGGGGAAGAAATGAACTGTTCTGATAGCCTAGGATGGTACAAAAACATGAAGAAAACTTTGCTACCACCATTCTTGTTCTCAGTTTAAAGCTTTGCGGATAAATCACACAGCTGTTCTCCCAGTGTGGTAGCCATGTCTGGGTGCAGTGAGGGACAGCCATAGTCTGAAGATGGGATCTGTGAGTTACTCATCCTGCATTCACTCATGTGAGACCCTCCAGTTGAATTCTTAGAAATGTACCGTTGCATACAAAGAATTGAAGTTTTTTCAAGATGGCAATGGTATATACCAGTATATGTAAAAATAATCTTTGATAATGCATCAGGGGGAAAAAAAAAAAAAAGACCAGAGTATCTGTAATACTGGTCTATAATCCCCCAGTTGGGAACTACACAGTATAGTATGTTTGCACAAAATGCTTCAAACATATTAGTCCTCTTAGGTTCATTTGCTTACTTGCTTATATGGAAGGAGAAAGCTACCTGAAACGTAGCTTTGTACAAAAACTTTTGTCCCATTATGGCTTTGTTAGTTGAAGTTAATAGGGCTGATAAATAGCTTATATGTGCATCCTTATTTTTTTGACTGTTTCCCTTTACATTTGCATTAAACTGTGTATTGGATGGTACACTGGTTATTTGTCTTGATATGTTGACTTCATGTTTCTTAGATCTTGCTTTGCACATGCTGACTGTGCTAGCTTTTAACATATTTAAACTTTCCTTTTTGTTCTGTCACAACTTGCTGTAGTTCACTGAATTAATTTACTGAAAGTCTTCAGTGTTTTCCTTTTTTGGTTGTTCTTCTGAAGTCGGACCATGTCTTGTTTCTTAAGGCCTTGTAACAGACAGTGACAGGGTTGCATTCGTCTCTTGAGTTATGACTTTACCTGCTAACACAAAGTAACAGTGTATTCAAGGATAAATATTAGAAAAAATGATAGTCAATGAATACCCGTTTGATTCCAAGACATCCAGTCAATTGGAATACAAGATAAATCTGAGGTAACTGCAAGCTTATTGGAAATAGAGTAAGCAAACTGGTCAAAATTATAATGAAAGATTAATTTGGGAAATTAATTTGATGTTGATTTATATATTGTAGAAAATATTAGAAGTATCATAATACAAATATTAACTGGAATAAATGCTTTCATTTTTAAGAGATGCATGTTACATGCCCCTAAATCAAAGGTTACCTCATCTGGGGAGAGAGAAGGGTATTTTAAATATGAATGCTTATTAGGTAGTATTGTACAAAACCACGAATTACTGATCATTTGAAATTAGCAAAATTTCTGGGTTTTTACAACACAATTTTTCAGTAGATGTGTTTTGCCTAGTTTTCATGCTGGAGTTCTTTCTTATGTAAGGAACTTGATGTAATGCTGCACAAACCTCAAGCAGTGATGATCTTGTAAACAGACTGTTGTGGGAATTTTTTTTTTTCCCCTCCTGACTTTCTGACACAACCTGAGGCTGTCAAACTATAATAAGCAGTTAGAAACTTTCAAGGGGAACTGTCAAACACCAGTTGAGAGGCAATATGACTATTTATCTGATTTTAGAATTTCAAGTGTATGAAGTAGGAGAGAGTTGCACTATATATATATGGGCAGGCGTCATGTTAAAATCCTAAAATGAGTTTAACTGATATGTGGTGGATATATTTTTGTTTTCTATGTAGTAGTGGCTTGCAAGTAACTTTCAAATGCTGTACTTGGAAAACCTCCTTAAGTTAATATAAAGCTTGAAATACCATTGATGGAGTTGATGGAATACTGCATCACAAACTGCTTCATGTAGCTTTTGTTTTGAAAGTTCTTTTCAGATAGAATAGTAGGGTAGCATGTTTTAGTTTAGAGGTCTGATTGCAGACCAGATTGCAGATGGTTGTACAATAATGTTTTTGTTGAGGATGATGCACTTCTCAGTTTTGGAAATATCTTATGTTATGTTGAAGCTTAGAATCAAAGAATGATAGAATATCCTGAGCTGGAAGGGACCCACAAGGACCATTGAGTCCAGCTCCAGACTTCACAGAACCCAAAAATTAAATCATATATCTAAGAGTGTTGTCCGAACACTTCTTGAACACTGACAGACTTAGGACCATGACCATTTCTCTGATTAGAGTTAACAATTTTGATAATAGACTTTTTAAGTGCTGTTCTTGCATTTTGGGGGGATGGGAGTTGTTGGGGGGCTTTTTTGTTTGAATTCTTTGTTTGCTTGTTGTTGTGGTGTTGGGGTTTGTTTGTTTTTTTTTTTTTCCTGAAAAGATTTTTTTGCATACATTATTACCCTGAAAGTATATTCACCTTTTTCTGTGTAGCTGTGGTATATCTGGATACGTAAGGAAGACTTTCTAGTATTTCAGTTGAAAGGGTAATGGGTAATAAACCAGATATGGAACAATTTTCTCCATATTTGAAAGGTAATGTTTCTGGTTGAATGGGGCAGTGGTATTAACTGAGAACCCTTGATGCTTGTCTGTGACTTCTCTCCTGTTCTGTTCATGGAACAGAATGACCTTACTTTGGTGGCCAGTGCTTGCTTTCTGGGAGAAGGAGGCTGATGGGTGAGCCCTTGTTAGGTACACAGTACTGCTACATATTTGCATCTAGCATAAAGCAGTGTTTCATCTGCACCTGTGTACAACACTGCTGCAGTCCTGCCAGAACACGCCACTGGCAACAAAATTTGCCTCCTTATTTTCCCTTCTGAGCATGATTGCGAAGAAGTCCTCCACGGTCCTGCTCCAGCTTTATCACAAAGAACATTGTTTCTCTGTTTTTCTCTACCTGAATATCCTTCTTGCACATCTGCATCTGAATGCACATCAGCTGACCCCGTTCCTCTGTCTTCAGTGTTTGTCAGTCAGTTGGACTGAACCATACCAATGAGTAACCATGTGTTGGCAGTATCTGGTATATTGCTGCCTTATACTGATGGAAACCTTTCTGTCCTGCACTGACTCATATACTGTGCTAGACAGAGACCATTCCACAAGATTTAAGTTGCAGAAGTTTAGGATTCGAATGCTTCTTTGAGTACGTTGAATTCCAATTTTATATGAATAAAGCACACTGAATTTACGAGAATAATTTCAATAACATGTTGCTTCTAAGTGTATTTAGTAATTACTTCCTTACCCTGTCACAAAGTTGTGTATTGCTCTTCCAAATACATAAAAAGGAAACTTTTTTCTGTTTTACAATAGAAAGCTAAAAATACATCATACTTGTGTTTTGGAGTTAATTCCTGGCACAGTGCAGTAATGGTATGTTGTCTTTCAAGCGATCTGGTCTAAAAAGAAAAACATTTATGCATCATCCTTTTTCTGAGTCTTTGAGAGTACATTTTGTTGTCTTGAGCAGGCTAAGAGACTTCTCAGTACAGAGATGAATTATCTTGTACGACCTTAAGCTAGTTCTAGATGTGTGATTTTTAACAACTCCACGTATTTAGTATGGGAAGAAGAAAATTGTTTTTATCATTTCATAGGTTCTGTTGCGTCCATCCATTAACGTTTGTACACTCAATTTACACTTACGTTTTTAAAATGTGTGTATGAAGTACCTGAGTCTGGACAGATCTTGTCAATATATATACCTAGGACTTAAGTAAGACGTTTTGCTTTTAGCTAGTGAAGAGGCTGAATTAAGTGAATTACTTTTAATTTATCGCTGTCCCTGTAATTGTTGTTCATTGGCTGCACAATTATTTAATAAACTTGTTGTTTTAAGTAGCACAAAGTTAAGTAGCACAAATATTACTAATAACTTGGTAGAAGGAGCCATCACTAGTGTATGTAACTTACACAGTCCAGAGAAACTGGGTTTTTTTTCTGCATGCACTTACCTGTTTTGTTTTCACTGTCACCTACAGGGGTAGTATGTGTTTGTGCTCTTAATTCTGCAGTATTTAAAGGGTTTATTCCTTGTCCTCATGGGCTTAATATGTTAAAGGTATATTAATGTCATTAATGTTGATTATTAATTGCTAATTGTATATGTAATGATTAATGTATTTGAATCTTAAAATATCAATAAAAGATTATGTGTCCTGCTAAGGTCTGCCTTGCCATCAGAATAAAGTTTTAAGGATCCTTGGACACAACCATGCAGTCTGCACCCCACACCAGGCCGAATCACATGGATTACATGTACTTCTGGCTTCAGTGTGAGATGAAAGCTTAAAACTGAACAGAGAAGACAGAGCAGAGGCACTAGTTAGACGCAGTATGTTTCGTAGCAGTAGGATTTGCTTCTCTGACCCTCATGGCAAAGGAGAACAATTTGAAAGACAACTGAGCTTAAATATCAGGAATATATATAGGCAAAATGATCTTAAATTAGTTGCTCTACTTCAAAGTTCTGCTTTGCGTTTCCAGTCCTGTTCAGTGAGTTGACAAATGTCTTGTGTCTTATGACAGGTCCATATTTATTCTCTTGGTATGGCACTCTTTTGGGGAGCTGACTATGAAGTTCCTCAAAGTCAGGTAAGTTTAGATTTGGTTTTGTTTAATGTTGCAACTTCAGACTTGATAGTTTGACTGAATCTGTATCTGAGTTAATGTGGCAGGATATCATAATGAGACACTGAAGAGTAAGATTTCTTTCCTGTACTTGGAGCTTTTTCCTGTGGAGTGTGTGAGGGGGGTGGTAGTGGTGTCTTGCAGAAAGAAGGTGCTGATAACTACCTTCCTGTTAGTTTCCATGAAGATATATCTGGGCTAGTCTATCCTGTAGTGTCACAGGCTGAAAGACAACAGCTTAAGCTGCTGACAAAGGAGAAAATTATTTGTTTTGGTTTGGGCTTATATAAAAACAAATATTTAAATAACATTGTTGCTTTACTCATAATAAAGCAACTTATTCTCTATGCTGCTGTAACTTCTGTGAGTCTGGACTTGGCACATACAGATACTTATGTTACACAATGGCCGAGAAAGGGTATGAATTGTTTGGAGCAGGGAGTAGACTCTTGCTATTGACTTGTCAGTCAATGCAGACGCAGTTGCAGACTACTTAGGGTGCTATTGCTCAATGGTGTTATTTCACACAACCAGCAGAACTCCTAGACTGTCTTTCCAACACTGACTGAAGATGATGTGATTCACCATCTTCCTGCATGCTCCTTCCCTGCCCCCAATTAAACTTTTAGAAGTCAATATCTAAAAGAGTGAAAATAAGATGAAAGGCATCCAAAAAAGCATTTAATGATGGACTTGCAGTTGCGGGATTTGGCGGAGTATTTTGCAGCTCAAGGAGATAAGCTATTTCTGTTTCATATTTGGGTTCAGTCCTACTAGTTGGTGTTATGTGTAAGGGTAAGGAAGGAAATTTTGAAAGGCTCTTTGGCAATCTAGGTGTTCAGTTCCTAATATTTTCTTTAATAGAGTGGTACTTGCGTTCTCAGTTGTACTGATTTGGAGGTAGCTGCCTGAATGCAAACATCAGAAAATTTGAAGCTGTGACTCTTTTAGGGATACTTATTCGTAACACCTACTGTGCCTGTCCCAAAAGCCCAAGTATTTTCTTAGACAGCTATCCCCTTTCTTTGCTCTCCTGTCTTGTCTGAGATGAAAGGAACAGTATTCAGCAGTAGTGGGAGAGTGACTTAAGGTAGGTAGAGGTAGGTGTTGAATAGAAAGTTGGCATGAATTTTAGTCCCATTTTTCTTTGTTTTTTCCTTTGGTGTTAAATTGTAGCAAAAGTTTCACAGTAATGCAGTGGGAAGGAGTGCTCTACCTTTTGATGTAACAGTATTTTTCCAAAGACAGTGTGGTGAGGTGTGCCTGGAAAGAAGCGGGGAGGAGAACTGTAGAATTTACCTTTGGGATGTTCTCATGTGATGCCTCTGCCCTGTGGAGTTAGTGGAGGCAAAAGGACAGTCTGTGTATGGCATTACTTTTAAGGGTTAATTTACATGTGCGGATTTTCCCATTTTTTAATTTTTTTTTTTTCCATATTTGCCTGCCTATGTTGGTTAATGAGCTACTTCTCTGTTGGGAGTGTGGTTGAATACAAGAGTGATTTTTATGATTCGTTGGAAGTGCTAAACGGATAGGTGGGAAAAGCCTATGTTAGTTAAATCAGGGTGGTTCAGAAATTTTTTTTTATGGTACGGTTTAAGAGTACTAATACAGGGAAGATTGGAAGATTGTAATAGTTTGAAGTGCTCTGTGATGCAAAAAGCACCACAATGCTTGTACTTTGTGGGTAACCACCCACTTTGGGAGAGTTGCAGATAAGAAAGCTCAAATCCCAAGTACCTGTGGCATCTGAAAACAAGTGGTGTTGCTGACTGCTGCATACCCTGAGGAGTGATATTTCACATACAGTGTGCTGGATTAACTGAATGGGTAGAGGAGAATTAAATCTAAATTGTTCTTAACTGTATGGGTGTTGTCCTGCAACTATGAAGCTCTGCTTCCTTAACCAGTGGCTTTGCTGTTTTATTCCTTACTTTTTTGTTGATATTGTTTGATGTTGTCACTGGACTTTGGAAATGCTAACAGCTGCTGCAAAATGTTGGTGAGGTGAGGAACTGTAGAAAATGAGTGTAGCAGACAGACGGTTACTAAATGATTGTAATGAGAATTGAATTTTATGCTTGTGACTGGTAGAATGTTGAAAAACAACAAAGAACATTTCCTCTGAACCTTTTCACTAGTCATTAAGCCCTTGATATAGGAAAGTGTTGGTGTCCTGACCTTACAGATCAGGCAGCTTGTTTGGACCAGATTGTTGTAGAGTAGGAATCGAATCTAGATGCTGAATGCCTGTACCTTGATCCACAACCACTATTTTTTTCACCACCTGTATGGTGACTTTCAAATTGGCACTTGGATAATTTAGGCAATGAGTCTCATGAATAGTTATTTTACTGTCTTGAACATCTTTTGTTTCTGTGTCCCCCACAAATCCCTATTAAAACTGATTCTCCTATCCCTTCTGTTTTTGTTTGTCACTAGCCTATCAAACTTGGAGATCATCTCAACAGCATACTCCTCGGCATGTGTGAAGATGTCATTTATGCCCGTGTATCTGTACGGACTGTTCTGGATGCTTGCAGTGCCCACATAAGGAACAGTAACTGTGCCCCTTCTTTTTCATACGTGAAACAGTTGGTCAGACTGGTTCTGGGAAGCCTGTCTGGGGTAAGTCTGTGTCAGCATTTGAGGAATAGAGATGAGCAGAAGAGAGCAAGGTGCTAATTCAGAGTCACTCTGCAGTCATTCTTCCTCTTGTTTTACTATGTTGCAATGTTGATAAGGGTGAGTGTTGAAAGGAGAGAATTGCTTCTCTCCCCTCATAACAGTTTGTGCACTTGACAATTCCTCCTGGAATATGCATTCACAACTGCTGTATCTGAGGAATAATTTTGTGAACTGTTTGTCTTCATTGAAAGAAAAGTAGGGAGAAACGGGAGAACAAAAAAAGATGATGAACTCTGGGGCAAGCCTTAGATTTGTTGCTACTTGAAATGCTTCAATCATTGCTGTGAATTTACTTTTTTGAAGTTATGCTTGACTTTTGGAGAGTTGCTTGTTAACAGGAAGAGGGATTTTTTAGGTGGTGTGCCAATTCTCTTGCACTTCTGCTCAGCTCTTGGATATGATAATTGTGGAGGACGTTATTGTCTAATGATGACAAATGCATTAAACTGTTTTCAGAAGTGAAAAAAACTACATGAACTCATCTTGCAAAGTTACTATTCCTGACAGGCAACCTCTCCCTTCGCCTAAACCATTACAACATAACTTCAGTATAGTTAAATAATTTCAAGGCTCTGAGTAGAAAGGAAGGCCATAAATCAATATTGTTAGATTGTTCTCTGGCCAATACTTGCTTTCCTTGTGTTCTGTTTATAATTACAACAAATGCCAAGCAGTTTATTATTGGTGGAATGATATCCCATGATGGTCCTGAATTTTATCCACTTTTATATCATTGAAACTCCTTTTTTTAACTCATAGGGATTATGCCAATGTAAAAATTGGTGACAGCACTGTAATTGCAAGAAAAATGTTTGACTTGACAATGTTTCCTTTAAAAAAAAAAAAATTGTTATGATGATAATTGTTAGATAGTTTCTTCGTAAATATGGTTTGGAAATGCTTGCATGAGTTGAGAGGTCCCTGCATTTGTCTAATATTTGGCAGCCTGTCTAATATATGACAGGCCTCCAGAAATAGTACTGAGCCTGAGCTCCACAAAGCATTGTCTAGTCTGTGAGGTTATGTCTGTCAGTCTGGTGCTCCTTGCTGTAATGTCTGAAGTCTTGTGTAGCTGCCAAGTGGAGCTAGTCTGTGATTCAATGAAATAAAGGCCTACAAGGCCTTAATCAGTGAAGCTATTAAAATAAAGATCCAAACCGTAAATTGGGCCATGAGCTATAGAAACAGCCACTGTGGAGAGTGAGTCATTAGTCTCGAAGTTCTTAATGGCCCTTTCTGCTTAGCAAATTTTCTGCTTTTCCTCATCTTGTTCTTGTCAGCAGGCTTTTAGAGGGAGTCTGAGGTTAGTGTGACAGACTAATTTGGACCAGCCTGCCAAAGACAGCAATAGTGGTCCCAAATGCACGTACTGAAATCCAGTGGAGAACTGAATCCAGCAAGTGTGTTCCTGTCTCCTATACCATGTTGATAATGAAGGAACGGGACTACTGGTGGTTATCCAGTGCTGAAGTTTTGCTAAACTTCTAGATTTCCTCTGCCAGTAACCTTTTTAACCTAATTCATAATGTGTCACTGCATTGGCTTGGCAAGAAGACAAGAACAAAATAGCCAAATAGACCTGGGTGTTGACAGAACAGCAATGACATAGCTGTGCTGCTGTGTTTCGTGCACCTTAGCTAGTCATGCTGTTTTTAATATTTAGTGCTCTGTACGCATGCTGGGATTTAAGTTAATAAGAAAAGCGTATAAAATTGTTTTTTCAGAACCATAGTACAACTTGCTATTCCAGGATCCCCATGCCTCCAATCTTGGCCTTATCAAAGGCTAGAGAGGTCTTAGCTCTATAACTGGTCGTTTGGTGGTCTATGAAGCACAGCTGAGAGGTCCTGTTTGAATGTTTTCACTTTCCATGTTAATATGCTTTGTAAAGGCAATATGGCACAAGACTGATTCAATCCATTTAATATTAATTGAGTTGTGTTGTAACTGTGATGGCTAAAAGGCTGGTTGATTTCTCCTTCCTACCTTCTAGCTAAGCCACTGTCCAAATTATGCCGATTCCCACCATATGAAAAGATCTCACTAAAGATTCTTTGTTGTAGCAAATAAGCTCTTCTTTGAATGATTGTTAATGTGAAATAATTTTTTTTTTTTTTTAGGGAAGTAGTAATTAAACAAAAAAAAAAGTTAAAAGTTAATGGGAGAAGTTTAGCCCCACAGGCACATTCCTTTCATGTGTCAGGCTTAAGAGGAGACTTTTTACAAATGCGTGAGATTTTACATGTGTCATAAAGTTGTGTGAGGTATCAGCCTAAAACTATCAGGTACAAGATAGTTCTTCCTGTTAACCAGAAAACTCATCAGGCCAATCACAAGTTCCAGTCATGTTGCGACCATGGAACATGGTTTTTGAGTGTTGCTGTCCCTTCAGTTTGCTGTAGGGGTCAAATGGATTTAAGTTACATGCTTGTGAACTTAATTTACACTTAGTTGAACGAAGTAGACCAGATGTGTAGTAAAAATAATGCACAGATTATTCAAATATGGATAATTCTAGGAGATGTTTTCACTGATGAACTTTTTTTTTTTTCTGAAAAAAGCTTGAACTTCTGCTCTGAACTTGAACTTAACTGTTTGGCACGGATATGTTGTGCATTTACATAACAGACACTTGTTTCATACTAACGTGAGCTCTTTCAGTATTTGACTTTGTGCTACTGCCTGTTTTGCAGGTGGATCAACTTTCTTGCAATGGAGATAGAAAATTGCAGCCAGACAGGAGCCAGGCCATTCGGGAGAGACTGAGGGGAAAAGGACTTCCCACAGGTAAGTGCTTCATTGCAGTAAGGATTATGGCAATAAGTACAGCCCTGTGGAAGACCAAATTTGGGTAGATTTTGCAGCCAAAGAAATTGAATAGCAGGAGACTTGCTGACATTGACAGAACTCTGAAGGTTCAGTGTCTAGCTAAGCGTTGGTGATGGTGACACAAGAATAATTGTTTCAAGAAAATACACGTCTTTTTCCAGTTCAGTCCTGATGGTAGGAACAGGTGTTAAAGGTTCTCAGCCAAAAGTTTTGTTTCTGGAAAAAGGGAATCTTAGTTGAAGGTGGGTCAGCTAGAGGAACAGGAAGCAGCTTTTCTTAGTTCCTTCTTTCCTGTGGACTCTGCTTTCTCTTCATAGCTCTAGTTGCATACAAAGCCTCTT